AAAATCAGATCAGATATTTAGGGAAAAACTTCATTTGAATAAAGTAAAATTAAGAGAAATGGCTATACATAATTTTTTTAATTGATAAGGAAAATTAAAGACCTAGAAATGTACCAGCATAGCCAGAAAAATTTTAGGCACCAAAACTTTAATGAATTTCCTTTCTAACACTGTGCTTCTCTTTTAATAAAAACAGATACACACATTTGCTTAAAAATATTCACTAATGATTTAAGTATGCCACATACACTCACTAATGAAGTCCTATAGAAGATCAATATTTCATACAAATGAAGTTTGTCAATGAGTTCACAACTGCAAATATTAAATGCAATGCTAGCTTCACAGGATAAAGAAAAGTGCCTTTTAGGTTACTTACCCAGAATGAACAGGACTTGAGACAAGATTGACATTGTCCAAGGTGTCTGCAGCCCAGCTATAGTGTCTAAGAGAATCTGAGTCAAATTCTCTTGTGAATGTTAGGTGCTGAAAAAGGAAATGACAGATTGCATCAACAACCCACACAAGACATTGGTTTTCTCTGCACTTACAAAATATACCTGTATGTCTCTATCAGTCCAGGTAGTCTACATTCACAATAAATAATTTATATACACTCCACTACCGGTCTACACAGACATTTCAAGAATTGGAAAATAGAGGTTATTTCAATCCTTTAAGAAAGCATCTGGAGTAATTGGCATAGCAAGAGGAATCGAGGAATAATTCTAACCATGCCTTTAAGCACTTCAACACATCTTCAAATTAATCCTACAACAGTTGTAAAATTCTTTCCCAAATTTCAAAAGGAAAATAAAACATTCAGTCTTGACGACTTCTGTCTCCAAGTGGGGCAGAGTAGCCTGCTGCCGCCGCCAAGTCAGATAAATATGGAAATCATGTCTGAGTGCGGCAGAGAACAGCTAGGGCATGAACTGGAGGAGCTGGACTTGGGAGAGGGGAAGGTCTCCAACACTCATGCTGGCGTTTTGTTGCTACTTTTAAATTGAGGGCATTTCTCAATTACCAGTGCAGACCGAATGGGGGCTTTTGTACCAGCAGGGGCTGTTGCTGTGGAATAGAAAAATCAAGGGAGTTCGGTGGAGATTTGGGACGCCTCCAGCGTGCTCTCCATTAGGACATTGGTGGAATTCTGGGGCTGTGCAGAACAGGCTCACCAGAAAATCCGAAAGGCTCATGGAGCTTTGTGGCAGTTTCATGAGAAATAGATTGAGAGTTTGGGACTTGTCGGGAGAGGAGACTGGAAAATCACAACAGAGTTTTAAGTAAAGACCCCATGGGACCAGGGACAAACCAGAGGCAGTCTCCACTTAAGCAGAGCTGCAAACCAGCCTCATTTCAGCAGACTCCTGATAGGATTAGATAACCGGCCCACCACTGTTTGCCAAGCAGAGGGAGGGTGAATCCTCTGTGGAGGCCTAGAGCAGCATCGGGCGTGCCGCGTCTGCATCTGTTTCACACATCATGTCCAGCACGCAATACAAAACTGCCAGGCATGGCCAAGAGCACATGAACAAAAACAGGAAAAAAACACAACACACCCAGATGCTATAGACTCCGGGTCATCCTACATTTTGAAGTAAGCTAATAAGAACTTGAAGTAACTATGATTAGTATGTTTAAGAAAATAAGGAGAGAGAGAAAAGGAAAATAAAAAGAGGATAATTTAACACAGTATGGAATACATGTAAGAAAGAATCGAATGGGCATTTGTCCAGTTCTAAATACAATGTTAGTTCCGGACTAGACACAACAGAAAATGGGGTTAGTGAATTGGAAGCATAAATGGAAAACTATACAAAATGAAGGATAGATGTTTTTAAAAGAGAATGGAAAATATAGAAAATAGTATGAGACGTGCAACACAGTGAAAAATTTTAACGTAAGTGTAATTTAGAAGAGGAGAATAAAGCAAAAGTTATATTTGAATAGAGAATGGCTAAGAACATTTTAAATCCGATATAAGATATTATCTCACAGACCAAAAATAAGATCAATCTCAATTTTTGTCCTGTTTAAGAGTTGCTTCCTACTGATGCTCCATTAAATGACAGAACTCAAAGATAGTAACAAATATGATAGCATTAAAGTTGAAAAGAATGCCTGGAAATTAGAGGAAGATTAAAATAAAAAATAGGAGAGAACATGTAAGAAAGCAGAGAATCAGTTTAGAATTTCAAATCTTCTGTCCCTCTCCAAAAAAAAAAAAAGTTCTAAAAAGAGAAACATAGTAAAATAAAGAAGTCAAGGAAATCATTCAAGAAAATTTCCCAGAGCTGACGACAGGTTCCCAGAGTAAAAGGACCCACAGAATGACCAGAACTAGAGAGAAATATAAACCCCACTTCCAAACTCGAAGAAACAGAATGATTCTCCAAATTTTAGAGAGGAAAATGGTCACAGGTGACAAACTTCCACCAGATTTTAAGAGCAAAAACTGAAGTTAAAGGCAAGGCCATGGAGCAATTCCTTCAATGTTCTGAGAGGAAATGATTTTCAACCCAAGATTCTATAACCAGCCAAATGAACAAAAAGTATGAAAATTAAGAATAGAATTATTTTCAGATATATGAAACCTCATAAAAAGATACATATGTGATGCACTCTGCAAAGGAAACTACTGAAAGATATACTCCACCAAAACAGAGGCCTAAACCAAGTAAGACATAGGGCAGTGATGGCGAACCTTTTGAGCTCGGCGTGTCAGCATTTTGAAAAACCCTAACCTAACTCTGGTGCCGTGTCACATATAGAAATTTTTTGATATTTGCAACCATAGTAAAACAAAGACTTATATTTTTGATATTTATTTTATATATTTAAATGCCATTTAACAAAGAAAAATCAACCAAAAAAATGAGTTCGTGTGTCACCTCTGACACGCATGTCATAGGTTCGCCATCACTGACATAGGGTCTAATACAAAAACAGGGAGTTTCCATGGTGATGATGGAGGAGGAATCAGGAGGGCTCCGTTACAGGGGACTCCAAGGAACGTGACCACACAGAAAGCTCCAGGGGAGATGAATTCAGAAGATGAAATTTATAGATCACCTAATAAGTGTGAACATACGGAGAGGAGATTTTTCACAACTGGGGAGGAGTGTGTGGGTTGGACTAGTGATTTGTACAGAGAGCAACAACCAAACGAGAAAACTTAGGGGAAGCAAATACTGTACCAAAAAGAAAATGCAATCATAACATACTTCGTATCTGTACATAACATGACGTAGGCATAACAATAGACGCATTAAACACCTACTGGTATAACCAAAAATAAAATACAACGGCTTAGGGGGAGTGGGGGGGGGATGGGAAGCATATACAGCAGGAGAGAAGAGTTGTTTAAAAAATGAGAGCTTCATCTTCCATTTTGGTGAGTCAATAAAAAGAAAATTCCTGACATGAGGAAAAGCCAACAAGAAGCAACATACATATTATTTAGAGACATGAAAGCATATAATAAAGGTCTCAAAAGGTATGCTAAGCATTTGTCTCTGGAGAGAAGATAATTTTTCCCCCCTAATGAGTATGTCTTATAAAACGGCAAGACTTTTTAATGGCTTGTATAAACTTCGATAATTTTAAATAAAGCTTAAAATTTAAAAAATTACTCTGAATTACTATGATTTTTTTTTAAAGCCCTGAAATCAAATTGGGAAATTGGGAAATCAAATTGAGGAAAAAAAAATTTGTAGAGCACTTATGTGCAAGCCACTATCCTATCTAGATCCTAGAAAAATACAAACATGAATGAGAAACAGTTTTCTCAGCATTCAGTGAGAGAAGACACATTCAGTGGACGAATGTGCAATGAATGGTGTTAATAGGAGCCCACAGATCCAAGGTCCTAACCCCAACAGAGCAACGCATCACTTCAGAAAGTCCCCACATTCTATGCGGGTAAACCAAAGCTTAGGCGTTAATTCTAGTCTGGCCTTATTTACCCATTTTACTGACTTTTGGAGACCCCAAGTAACCTAGCTTCAGAGCAGGAAAAAATATTCAATAGAAAGTGGGTGGCGCTGCTAACTTTACTTTTCAGCAAACTGCAACTTCTGCATTTGAGGCCCTGAGGTTACTTTTCACAAGGGACCCTTTTTATTTTTTTTAAAGTTCTAATAAATAAATAATATCACTCTTCTTTGGTAATTACAGTAAATTATTTACCTTTGGCAGGCTTAGAAACATGCACTGGTGACATTAATTATTGAAACAATGAATATATCACACAAAAAGGTATCAGCACCATCATGCAATATTTATCAAAGCCGGAGTATGCCAGCACACTGGGATTCCACACCCCTTCGAGTTATTCCCAACTCCTTTCCCCTCCCAACCCTTAGCCACTCACTGAAACTCCGTCTTAACACAGATGAACAAATGTATAATGAACAAATATACTTGTTTAAAACAATCAGCTCCATGTCCCAATGTTGGTCCCAGTTATTTTTTTCATAGAGGTCTGCTTAGGTTTATGGGAAGACCTAACAATTTTAATAACCTCCATACAGACACACAAAATGCTCTTCCTACAATGCATCCACCTAAATAAAAAATACAGCAATTCAACAGAGCCTATGGTCTTCACAGAAAGAGAATGAATTGGAAGCTTCATTTCCAAGTGACCCATCTCTGAATACTTATTTCTACAGATTAGCCTTTACTTAAAGCTGAAATGTGAAATTTGAACTGTTTACTTTCACAAACATTATGAATTTCAAAATGTTGTGCATGGCACCATGCTACCAACAAAGAGCTTTCCCCTACTTGGTTACGGATCAAATAGACATTTAAAATGATAAATAGGACATCACATGTGATGATGGTTAAAAGAGATGAAACAGAGTTGGCTCTTGAGTTTCCCACAGCAAGTAGGGGTGTTCCCAGGGTTTAAAGGAAAACATTGGCTTTGAAGTTTAGTCACAGACTTGGATCTGAAAATCGCCTTTGCCACTTGCTAATGGAGAACACTTCTTTCCCACTCCCAAGTTTTCCATCTTGGAATGGCAACTCCATTGTGTAACTTGGGCCTCTCCCTATCCCTTTATATTCCTTTTGACCCTTAAAATGTGGAGTGATTTATCTGAGTGGTAAATTTGGGAAAGGTAGCTGGGAAGGCTCTGCTCAGATCTAATTTTCACCCTCTTGGGCCTGAGCTTGGTCACGGAGCACAGACATCCTCCTCTGCTCCCTAAATCCATCTCTGTGACGGGTGCGCCTGGGCTGGTGATGCTGGCCTCTGGGCAGGGCGTCTGCCAATTTCACAGGCTCAGTTAGCAGACCCACTTGGCTCAGACACTAAGCCAGCCCTCAACCTGGCCTTCTTCAGGAATAAATAAAATATTTTGCCTCGGATCTTTCCTTATCTTTATTATTGAAAGCCCCTTTGGAGATGCCCAACATTACTTGCATATTTCATGACCCTTAGCTTGTTTTCTTAACTTTTCTCAGTCTCAGTTTTC